TACTGTTGAATCACCGAGGCATGGGCATGTAAACGATTTAACATTGGAGTATTTGACAGCAGCTCACTAAGATTTTCTTGACAGGTGCGAGTGAACAATATTTTATAATGCATGGGTCCAATGAGATGACTTAACAAAGACCTAAAAGCTCTCTGACAGTTGTACATTATGTTGAATCATCATGTAGCCTTGAGCAGCAAAGCATGACCTAGTTTTATGACTCTGAAAAACCTCTAGGCCATTTTATAGAACAGCAGACAAGGTGAGCAGTCAAAATATAATAACAATAACAATATAAACAACAATAGCCACAAAAAATCATCTATCATTATAAACAGTTATCAAGCCAGTTGAAACATGAACTTTTCCAATCACTTAATAAACTTTGACTTATTTATGCATTAATGAGAAGCACTAGTTCAATAAACATCAACCTGTTACATTCATGCAGGTGTCAGAAACTTTTCAAAAGGAGACCCTTTCAATATAAAGAAAACTAAAACATCAATTTATAAAATAAAAAAAAACTTACTTCAACATATTTCTATTTGAGTAACAGTAAAAACTAGCCATCCAAGAAATTACTCAAGTAAAAGTAAACAAGTATTTGGTTAAATACCCCTCAAGTAATAGGTAAAGGTTTCAATATAATTATGTAATCTGACAGACCATAATCATAACATGCAGCCATGTGTCATTTTGTTGTAAAGAATAAAAAACAAGCACAGGAAATATTTACCTAAATCTAATTTAATGAAAAAAATCTAAAGTAGATAATTTATGAGTAATAGAACAGAGTAAAATATCTCCAGTGACAATATATCATGTTTGTGTATCCTGTACTACCTTGACCTCTGCGTCAAAGAAGTCTCAGCAGATAAAAATAGCATTAAAACTTCAAAAACTGCATTGAAAAGGAATACATTTTTTAGGAAAACTGTTTTCTGCATTTTAGGTTGAAATGTGCTTGCTTTTTTTATTCAGTACAGTACAGATGCTCTCTAGAGGGACACAATCAAATCAACAACGTAACATCCAGGAAGCTTGGTTATAATTGTGATATTTCGTTATTTGAAAAGAGTCAGGCGAAGAAGGCACCCTTTGGTGAATTTCCTTGACAGAGTCGGTTTATGGGAAGTGGATACGACAAATAATATTCTAATCAAGCCTTACAGACTCAGAAAACAACAACAGATGTTGAAGTTCATCACATTGCTAAGCAGAATCATCACTGGAAATCGTGTGGAACGGTAAGGAAGTTAGTATTTTTATGAATGTCTGAAATTTCATGATTAAGGAGGCTGATTGTAAGGAGATGACAGGGTCTGCTCATGTGCTCTTTGCTATCTGAGAACTGAGCCAGAACTGATGAACCAGTACTAGTTTAGCATTGTTTGGTTGTGAGTGGCACGGTCCAGTTCCGTTTTGTGTGCCATTTACACTCAACATTTATCTCAGTTACCGTGCTTGGACCAATCTCGCCATGGTTTAAAAATGGTTGTGTAAATGGGGCTTTAGTTACTTGATACTCTGGTCTTTTCTGCCGGAAAACTGATCCCAACCACTTTACATTTAGCGATAAAAAGCTCTAGTGTGTGCTGGAGCTTGTGGCCTGAAAAAAACAAATAGAACTACATAATCAGATAGGTTTGGCATAAGGTTTGGCATTGTGTGTTTGTGATGGCAGTCAGGAGAGAAGGCACACCTTCTCTCCTGACTGCCCAGTCATTGCTGGAAATATTCATGAATTGGTCATGCTATGTTATGCTGTCACTGGCTTGGGTGATTAATGATCCCTGCACATGTGGATGAGCCATTGACTCACAGCAGGCTACCAGCTGACCAACTTACTGCAAGAGCTGAAGAAAGGAGAGGTGCCGCTGGGACAGGATTGAATCTCAAATAAGTGCCAACTAAAACACAAAGCTCAAATACTGTATAAACACCAAAACTGACATGGATATCCAAACTGAGCAAAATTATCTTTTGCCACAGTTTCTGTTGAACAGTCACATAAGAGAGTACAATCAAAGAAGCCTTGTGTCATTTTCGCCGGATAATTTCTGGATAATCGACACATACATAAACACCCAGTCTTGTTTTCATCTATCTTTGTGGGGCCTTACATTGATTCCATTAATTTAACCTTGACCGTAAGCCCAACCTCAGTTCACACCTTAGTCCTAAACATGACCCCTGTCCATAAAACAGCAATTCTCCTAATGGGATCCAGGTAACGGGCCCCAGAGGAGCAGTCGGTCCCCACACTGTGCTGTTTCTCATGAAAATAGGCTGCAAAAATTATGAAATACAAGAACCCCCCCCCCCCGACACACACACACCTGAATATTTTCCCCTCTATGCATAAATGCCTGAAGACATCCTCTCTGTTTTCATTTCCGACTTACCATGGTCTGCCTTATCTACCTCTGATCTCCTTCATTTTACTTTTTTTTATTTCATTTCCTTTCCTATCCACTTCTAGCTCACTGCCAAACAATCAGAAGCCACTCACAGCTACTTATATCCCAATCTCTACAGAAAATAAGAACTGTATTGTTTACACAATTCCTTCCATTCCAGACATAACAGTCAGAGGTTAAGTGCAAGGTTGATTATTGGTTACACATTTGGCAGGCACTATGTTAAGTAGCTTTCTTAAAGAAAGCAAAATACAGAAGACATGACTGGCAGGTCTCATAAGTAAAAAAAAAAAAGAAGCACTGATGTACAGATGTAGTACATAAAAGGGTAGGCTTACGTGTGTGAGAGCGGTTTTCTATATGATGACTAAATAATCTAAGGAACATTCATTAAACTTCAGAATTTTAATGAGGTTTGAAAAATGTTGTTTTTTCTGTCACCCTTCTGGGATGTTATCATGGCTGCATTTTCAGCGGCGCCAATTTGGCAACAAACAATTTATGCCATTTAGTTTTTTCATATAGGGTTTAATTTACAGCTCATTATTTGAAATTCCTTCAACACCGTTGCACCGTATTTTAAAATTTGTGGGGGCAATGGGGTTTTACTTTACTTGGTTTAGTTAAGTTTTTCTATGCTTTGCCCCATGTGTTTCATTTGTGGACTGATCAGCCACTATTTAGCTTCCGCTTCGCTTCATTTGGAACCTGTCCAACTAGACTGAGTCCTTGGAGGATGTAGCCCCTAGAATTGAACACACCCCTAAAGTATTTTTGTTCCTTTGACCTCTTTTCTGGATCCATTATGACAAATCTTTGTACTTTTAAACTGTTTAACTTGTTTGGGTTACATAAAAAAAAAAAACTTATTTTTTGGACATACACATGTGGTAAATCTGCTTGTTCAATAACAGATGTGATCTTTTTTGACCTTTTTTTTAAATCTCTGCTTCTGTCTCCTTGACCCTCAGTCGGCAGCAGCAGACGGCCACTCACACCAAGCCTGGTTGCGATGGAGGTTTCTTCCTGTTCAAAGGGAGTTCTTCCTCTCCACTGTCGCTACAAGCACGCTTAGTGTGAGGAATTGCATTTGAGTCAATGCATCAACTGGTTTTCCTTAGATAGAAAACTTTGAATCAATTTGACTGGATGATCTGGTGAACTATAAAGTGCCTTGAGATGACGTGTTGTGAATTGGTGCTATATAAATAAACTGAATTGAATTGAGATGTACCGTAACAAACAAGTATATATATATTATCCTCCTTGACCTACAACCAAGAGCGTTTAGTTAAACTTTAACTACAAACAGTTGTGTTCATTGTATATAAACATCTGTTTACATACATCCATGACATTTGGTTTTATTCATCAAAATGTTCTCAAATCTGTATGTTGATTTTGTTTTTTGCTAAATTTAGAGTATGACAGACAATTTAAAAGTTTCATTTAAATACATGGTTCCCTGCTGCTAAAAATGGTAAACAATAAATAATAAAATGATATACATATTTTCTAATTTCTAAAAAATAAAAAAAATTAAAAACATTGGATTTTTTTATATTTTTTATTTTTATTTTTTTACAGATAATTGGCAAATGTCTCTCCAAGAAGTAGTTGGTTGGTTGTAACTCACAACCTAGCTCCAAGATAGCACTTAATCCCACTGCTCTATTAGGGGGGCAAACATCTTCTTTTAATGAAGGAGACTCCAATGTAAAGACCGGAACACATAAAAGGAGGGAGTTGAAAGGCAGAAGAACTGAGTGTGAAGATAGACAGAGTGGGTGTCTCTGAGTAGCTTATTGCCACCTCTGGGCAGTCTGACACATGGCTGATATCTCAAACCTATTTCTTTTCTTCAAAGCCTTTTGCTGATTAAAAAAAAAAAGGCTAGCTGGTGCCATAGGGTCACAGTGCCTTTGTCGGGGGAGTTGTAATTACTGACTGCTGGACTTTAAGAGGGTGGGAAGAAACCAAGATTTAATCTTCTTCTCTGTTTACAAAAATAACTTCCCTTGGGAAGATTTAAAAGCTTTTTTAAGGTCATTTAGTTAAGTATCTTTTAAGTCTAATGAGGGCCTCTGACAAGAAGGCGGTCAGATCCCTGCTGGTTACAGCTGCATCCTCCTTTGTCTCAAAGATTGGTTTTCTGTCACGGAACTTATGCATGCACACAAATTTGAAGATGGCTCACCCTGATACAGCTAAATGTGTCAAATTGTCCCAATTTCACAATTGACTATGTGGCTCAAATGTTGAATTGATTCTGTGGTAAATCTAATTTCTTTTTAAGAGGGCAGGCTGCTGTGAGAAAGTTGTGTGGAGTGCAGCAGCTGCTCTGGAAGAAAGCCCGTCATGGGGTGAGCTGCTGATAAGCAATGTGTTTGTTGTCAGATCACAGCCAGTGAGCATGTGAGAATCCTCCGTGTCCTAACATGTGTTAAGGAATAGCAGACAATAGACAAAGAAGGTGTTTGCACTTTGAGGGCAGCTGCAGGAGAGACAGCTTGTGATTCTTCTTTAAGGTGTTTATATTTATGTATATTGTCATGAAGGTGTAAACTTTGCACTCACAGTCAGCATGGGCGCAGATGAGGCAGGAGGCGGTGCTGTTAAAGAAGGTAAGAAGGCCAGCAACAGCTAAGCTGATGTCTGTATTGGTTGGTCTTAGGTCCAGGGTGGTGAAGCGAGGGAACTGCACCTTCAGAATGTCTTCTGGGGCCACTTTGACATACGGTACCTGCACAGAAGTTATTGTTAGTTTGCAGCATTTTATCTATCAACTGGTACAAACTGTATGTCAAACCTCTAGCCCCCCATGTTAACAAAAATGCACAAGCAATAGCCAAAGAGGTAACACAGATAAAAAGCAGAGTGAAGAGGGGCTTCCGGTGAAGATGGCGGGCTAGAAGACGTGTTTTCACTTTGCTCGTGCTCCCATCCGTCTATATTACAGTATAATACGCGCTACTGTCTATATTTTCGAGGGATATATTGAATTGGCGTTTTACGAATACGCAACACCGTAGAATAAATTTATTGGACAACGAGCGATGTCAAAACAGACGAAAATACAACCACGAAAGATGGCGACCGCCGCGATGACTACCAGTGCTAGCCAAACTGATGTGCTAGCAGCAACAGGTGACCAGCCTTCGCCTCCGGCGGACACAGCTGCCCTCGTCCGTGAAGTGACTAAAAGTATCAGTGAGGTAATGGACCAAAAATTGTCTGCACTTTCTGGGACTCTGGATAAAATATCGTCCTCATTGGAAGGACTTTCGACACGCGTTACGGAGACAGAGCAGAGAATCTCAGATGTGGAGGACATTGTCACCGACATAACGGGGAGACTGACTGAAGCCGAAGAGAAAATTAAGACCATGGTCAAGGGATTGGATGACATAGAGAACAGGAGCAGGCGGGATAACATCCGTATTATTAATCTGAAAGAAGGCTCGGAGGGTCAGAACCCTATCCAGTTTTTCGAGGCCTGGCTGCCTGCTACGCTCGGCCTGGGGAGCGGCTCCGCGGGTGGGGCTCTCATCAAAGTAGACCGCGCACACCGGGGCCTCGGCCCGCGGGGCGCGCGTCCCAGACCGGTCATTATTAAGCTCCACAACCCCAGGGACAAGCAGCGCATCATGGCGGCAGTGAGAGCGACTCCCGAGCTTGACTACGAGGGACAGCGGATCTTTATACATCAGGATTTCTCTTATGCAGTCCGTGAGAAGCGGAGGGGATTTAACGCTACTTGCCGAGCTTTGATTGACAAGGGCATCCGCTTCAACATGCGCTACCCAGCGACACTCACGCTGACTCACAATGGGACTGAACACAAGTTTGACTCGCCGAAGGATGCGCAGAACTTCATCAAGGCACTGGACTAACATTCAACTTGGATTATTATATTGAGGCGGCCCAGGCAAGGCACGTCTGCTGTGTTTATTGCGATTAAGGTACAGAGAGACTGTTTAAAGGGTGGATACGTATTATCTTTTTACAGTGACGTATTAATAGAGCCATTTGACCGTTGAAACAGATTAATGTTTAGTTTCATAATTGACAGTAACCAGGTAATATTTTGGATGGGGGGGAGTAGGGGTGGGATTTCTTTTTTTTTTTCTCCCGAGGAGTGAGACTTCTTTTGGCTGCACTGGGCCTTGTAACACCACCTATTTGGTGGCTTTTCATTTTTTTGTTTTTGATTTATATATTTACTTTTATGTTTTTTTATGCTATTGTTATGTGGTTAGTTGTGTGTGGGGGGGTTCGTTTGCCATCAGAGTGTGATGGTTCTGTTCATGTCAGCACAGCCAGTCCAGGTCATAGGTTAAAACTTGTACATTTTGTTTATTGTGATGGGTCTTCTTGCTTACTTGGATTGCTAATTTTATGTTTAATGAATCACATTTTTTATAATGAGTAACACAAAATTTGTAACACTTAATGTCAAGGGAATTAATCACGTCATTAAGAGGCGTAAAATACTCTCTTTGCTCAAAAAAGATAGGGCCCAGATCGCGTTACTGCAGGAAACTCACCTAACTGATCTTGAACACTCAAAACTTAAGCGTGACTGGGTGGGACAAATTTACTATTCCTCCTTTAACTCTAAAAGTCGGGGAGTTGCAATATTGATCCATAAGAAATTACCATTTACCTTGAATAAGATCATAAGGGATGCAGATGGACGATTTGTTTTGGTTTCTGGGCTTCTGCATGGTGAGCAAATTCTTCTAGGTAGTGTCTATGCTCCAAATGCTTTTGATGGTAGGTTCTATTCAAAATTTTTGGCAGAGGTTTCTTCAATCTGCCAAAACCACATAATAATCGGTGGTGATTTTAATTGCGGTTTAGCCCCTGAAACTGATTATAATCCACCAAAATCTCAACTACCCTCAAGAATGGTTAGGGCTACAATTGAGTTATGCTCAGATCTTGGTCTTTTGGATTCCTGGAGAATTTGTAACCCACATGTGAAAGACTTTACTTTTTTTTCACGTCCCCATTCTTCTTTTTCTAGAATTGATTATATATTTGTTTCCAGATCTGTTCTTGACAGAATTCAGGGTTGTTCAATTAACACATGCGCTCTCTCAGACCATTCTTCAGTTTCAATGGAATTTTTACCACCTTATTATGACTCCTTGTCTAGACATTGGCGTCTTAATCCAACTTTGCTTAGTGACTCTGTATTTTTAAAATATTTAGAAGATCAATGGGAGCTTTTTATCTCTACAAATGATTCATCAGAGGTCAGTGCCTCTACCTTATGGGAAGCAGGCAAGGCATTTCTCAGGGGCTCTATAATTTCTTTCACAGCAGCGAAAAAAAAGAAAACCTTGGCTAAACAACTGGAACTTGAACAGGATATTGTTAATCTGGAGAGGGAGTTTAAACAATCTACGTCCATTTCTGTGCTTAAAAAGCTGGATGCAGCCAGATCAGCTTTGGACCAACTATTAACTCAAAAAGCTGAAACTACAATATTCTATGCAAAGCACAGATTATTTGAATCTGGCAATAAACCTGGCCGTTTGCTTGCCCGACTTGCCCAGGGGAAGAATGGGTCTTATGCAATACCCTCTCTCAAAGATAAGAAAGGTGATCTACACTATGAGACTAAGCTTATCAGTAAAATAATGAAAGAGTTCTACCAAGAACTATATTCTTCTGAGTGTCAAGACTCTGCAGATTCTAGGAAGGGCTTTTTGGATAATATTAAACTCCCTACACTGTCGGAAGAGAGACAATTGGATTTGTGTAGACCTATTAGGACACAGGAAGTCTTAGAGGCCATCAAATCTCTACAGGATGGAAAAGCTCCGGGCCCTGATGGGTTTGGGCCGAAGTTTTATAAGAAAATGGCTAAACACATTGCAAATCCCTTATTAAATATGTATATGGAATCATTTGAGAAGGGCGTGCTCCCACCTACCCTCAACCTTACCCACATATCCCTGATATTGAAGAAGGATAGGCCGGCCGATCTATGTACATCATACAGACCTATAAGTTTGCTTGGTGTAGATTGCAAAATTTTGTCAAAAATACTGTCTAGGAGATTGGAGGAGGTTCTGCCAGTTCTGGTAAAGCCTGACCAGACAGGCTTTGTCAAAAATAGATACTCCCACTCCAACGTACGCCGACTTATAAATATTGTACAGTTTTCTCAGAACACTAACTGCAGGGCTCTCGCCATTTCATTGGATGCTGAGAAAGCATTCGATCGTGTGGAGTGGGGGTATCTGTTCGATGTTTTGGAAAGGTTTGGTTTGGGATCTGAATTTGCCAAGTGGGTCAAACTGTTATACGGGGCTCCAGCTGCAAGGGTTTTGGTAAATGGTTCTGCTTCTGATATTTTTCCTCTGAGTAGAGGGACACGCCAGGGATGTCCCCTCTCCCCTTTATTGTTTGCGCTGGCTCTGGAGCCATTGGCAGAAGCTATAAGAACCCACTCTGGGATTTCTGGAGTAACCTTGGGAGATACTGAATACAAAATCTCGCTTTATGCAGATGACGTGTTACTGTTTGTCACTAAGCTAGAAACATCTATCCCTGCATTAATATCCACTATTAATCAATTTGGCCTTTTTTCAGGGTACAAAATAAATTATGATAAATCAGAAGCTTTGCCACTTGGTGACCAGGGGGGATGGAACACTCCTGATAATTTTCCTTTCAGGTGGTCATTCACAGGTTTTACATATCTGGGCATCAGGGTGTCCTCGGACATAACAGAGCTATACAAGTTAAATTTTAGGCCAATTGTGGCCTCAATCAAAAATGACCTTAATCGGTGGTTTGACCTTCCGATATCTTGGATGGGTAGAATAAGTTTGATTAAAATGAATGTTCTTCCTAGAATATTATATCCTATGCAAATGCTGCCTCTTAGAATCACCAAAAAAACATTTTCAGAGATCGAGGGGTGTTTCTCTAATTTTATATGGCACGGAAAGAAGTCTAGGCTAAAATTAGGGATTTTACAATTACCTTTAGATGAAGGGGGTCAGGCTCTTCCTAACCTTCTTTATTATTACTGGGCTTGCCATGTACGGATAATCTCAGGATGGTTACATTCTTTTTTACATCTAGGTGAGCCACCTGTAGATACTTGGTGCTGTGACCCCCTTTCTCTTCTTAGTCTGTTATCTATTGTGTCAGCTGAACTTCCACTGGGTGTGAGAAATAACTCAATTTTGATGTGTACACTCAAGGTTTGGCATAATATTGCTGCCCACATTGGAAGAAGAGGTTTTTCTAGTGCATTGCAACCTCTAATTAGGAACCAGGCTTTCCCTCCAGGTATGGGCATTAGTGTATTTGATGATTGGCATTCTAAAAAGATAAGATTTGTTTGTAATTTATTTGAAAAGGGTAGTTTTATGTCCTTTAAACAAATTCAAACTAAGTACAATATACCACAAAAACACTTTTTTGGGTTTTTGCAAGTGAGACACTTTGTAAATTCTATTAAATTCCCAGTCAACCAATCTGTTTTGAACCCTATCGAAAGTTTTCTTCTTAAATTTAATGAAGATGCACTCACTAAAAAGAAATTCATTTCTCTGTGCTATGGGAAATTACTGTCTTTGAATTTTGTTACAACTGATAAGGCCAGGGTTCGGTGGGAAACAGACTTGGAAGTTGAGCTTAGCTCAGAAGCATGGTCAAAAGCTTTTAGGTTTGCTAAGAAAATGTTTACTTGTAACAGACTTCGGGAAAGCCATTACA